TAAAACTTTATACTTAATGGTATCAAAAGCAGATGGAAAATCTACAGAAACAGCATAAAGTTTTTTTCTCTCTTTCTGTAATTTTATTAAATTCATATTGTTGGATATTGTAGAATCTGTGTGCAACATTCTCTGTAAAATCAGCAGCAATAATGTTAACAGTAAATGTTGTTTTTACCATTTGTAAAACTTGTTTGAACCACTAGTTGTTTCAAATTGCATTGGGCTGCAATTTGAAAAAATTGTAGACCCATAAATTTCTACTGTCATACATTCGTCCATCTGTCTTTCCTTAATTTCAAGAACAGAGTTAGATGGATGAAAGATTAGACCAGATATGGAAACCTTAGGGGCAAACTAGAAGTCACGTTGTTTCAATTAAAAAATTGCCCCCAAAAGGTGTTAGGTAGACCAGCATGACTCTGTTGTTAAAGGAAAAGTATGATGTACGGAGGCAAGCCACTATTACACTGGTGTGCAAAACTTAAGCAATGATTACTCCACAAGAAATCAATCTGGGAGACAAGAAATTCAGAATACAGAGACAGTGTTTGGTACTTAAAGGATGAAGAAAGCATACTTGCACAAAAATGAATAGAATGCACACAGTATTCAATCAAAACTTTCTTCTTCTTATAGTCTTGCACTGTGAGTACTGACTGCATGCGGTTTACATGCCCCCATGTCACCTGTGATGTCTTCTTCCTGCATACTTTTCTTCAGTAGAAAGATGAATCACCTTTCTACTGAAATGGGTGTTCATTGTACTGATCACAACAAGCCCTTTTCTACAATTTCATTGCTGTTTTCTTAAAAATTGCATCACTGCTTAAGTTTTGCACACCAGTGTAATTTGAGATGGAGAGCATATACAGTAGAGCATCGATTATCCGAATCAATTGGGACTGGGGTTGTTCAGAAAATTGATTTTTCAGATAACCGATTATGTACAAAAAAATATATTAACCTATCCCATGTTGAAATTCATTCAAATCCTGGAACGTCCTTAAGTACCCTCTCATGGTCGCACCAATGCTGCCAACTAAAACATGCACACCAACAAAAATAATATTGGAGTAGCCCAAGACATAGTCAAAGATTGCAGCGCCACAGCACTAGCAGAAATTAAAATTTGCTGACTGGAAAGCTTTCAGTTAATTGATGTTTTGGTTGATCAATATTCGGATAATCAGTGCCCTACTGTATTTTAAATTAAATAAATTAAAAATATGTTAAAAAATGCAGCCCAGCATTGGGATGATGTCACAATAAATAATTGCTCATTTGCTCTACATCTGGTATGGCAATCATTCTAGCCAAAAGCTACACTGGCCATGTTGCCCCTTTTTCAACCCCACAGTTCTTCAAGCATTAAATATACTACAGATATTATTCATGTTAATAATTTCTAGTTTTTTCATTTAAGTTTTTCAAGTTTATTTTAGAGAGAGATAGCATTTACTATATTTATTGTCAGTCCAATAAAAGATGAACTTTTCAAAATAATTTGATTATGACATAAGACCTTATAATTATAATATTAGTATGCTTTAAACTTTAGCTCTTATCACTACAGAATGAATTTTGATGATTAAATAATTATATACAGTAGTACCTCAGGATATGAAATTAATCTGTTCCTAAACTGAAATAGTATCATGAAAATGTCATAAGGTGAATCATTTTTTCCCATATGATTACATGTAAAACCAAATAATCCGTTCCAACACAAAAACTACACTCAAATTATAGCTAAGTAGTACATTGAAAAAAATAACTTTAGTAAGAAAACACTGAAAAATGCATTTTGTAGTTGTAAATGTATAAATAACCATAATAGAATAATAATTGATAAAAAAATGTAGTTTTATTTACACTTTACCTTTGAGGATAGATGACGGTGGAGGTGTAAACTGATGGAGAGGGAGAAGGGAAATGATACTAAAACATAACTTGCATAACATAATGTAACAATAACTTAAAAATAACTTAACACTAATTTTTTTTTTTTATTCTGATGAAACCGTGTTGTTAATTTACTTTGCTTTATACAGACACAATAAAGTGACTCCTTTCAAACACTTGGCAGATTATTCTTCTTTTTATTCAGTTGGGATAAAGAGATGAATAATCTGCCAAGTGTTTGAAAGAAGTTGCTTTATTGTGTCTGTATAAAGCAAACTAATTTTTTTATCTTTTCTGTTTTATATATTTTTTTAACTTTTTTATTCACTGCTTTTTGCTTTCTTTCCTTCACTTCTACTAGCACTTTCACTGGATAGAGGTTGCTTGGTAAAATATCTATCCAAAGAGGTTGTTTGACTTTGCCTACTTTTTAAAATGTTTCTAAAATGATTTAGGCAAATGTCATTAAACTGAGCAGCAATTCAGCCAGTGTGAACCTTTTTGGGATGTTTCTTTTCAATAAAATCAGTCACTTTCTGATAATACTTCAAGATTTCCTTTATCGAGCAAGATCCTTCCACAAAGTAAACACATGGACTGAGATCAATGAACAGAAAGAACACGTGATCATGCCGGTGGCGCTGCAAACTAATGTAATGTTGTATGGTGAGTTTTTGTTCGTACTGTGGAGCAAAAATATGTTTGAATTTCATGTTGTATCCTGAAAATTTCGTATGCTAAAGCGTTCGTATCCTGAGATACTACTGTATCTTCAAAATGATATCCCCAACCTGATCATGTAATGTTTTGTCTTGTTTATACAACACTATTATTTTTGTCATTATGCTAACAAAGTCAAAAGTAAAAATGATGTCATTACTATTTTGATTTAATTACTTCATTTTTTAAATTGTACTATGCAGAAATTCATTTTATATTAATTAAATTGGCATTTGTACACAATTTAAAATATTAAATAACTTTTGAGTTAGAAGACGAGAAAAAAATAAATTTTTTGTAGCATTTTCTAAAAAGTAATTGAATGAATGTTCTGTTCCAATTATGTTTTAAACAACTGAACTTCAAAGGTATGGGTTATATGATGTTTTTATTATCATTTCTGCAATTTTCTACAAGTTATACACTGATTTGGTCTATACACTGCTGTAAATTATATGCAGAGAATATATATATATATTTATATATATATATATAAAGCTAAAAAACCGGATTCTTTCTTTCCTTCTGTTATTGTATGCCAAAAATGGCTTGCTATTATTTAAATTAACAATATAAATTATTTTATATTTTTACAGTATAATATTCAGTATTCAGTAATATTTCGACTTACGCGAATATGGAGTTACACGATTTTCAAACCTCGTCAATTCGTCTTTTGTTTGAGCGCCACGCAACTCTTGATTACTCACTCCTCCCACACTATTATTCAGCTTACATGTTTGGAGATGTCGCGCCGAATTGACACATAGCTACAATTTATTTTGTGTTATTTATTTGTGTTTGTGGTATCTATGGAGACTTGAGAGACTATGTGGTGATTTCTTGTAACCGTGAATGAATCAAAAGACGAGATAAGATTAACGAGAACATTTATTAGCTTACATACATCTGACTTGGATTTTACACAAATAGCAAAATTATACCCCGACTTATGCGGTTATTGCTTGGTCCCACCTATCGTGTAAGTTCGGGGTATTACTGTATTATTACTTTTATTTGTAATTTGGTATGCCCCGATGCCTGCATCGGGCCTTTCGACTGGTATTATATAAGCTTAAAATTTCAAATATGACTGTCGTGATGTGATATTCATTACAAAGTAAAGCAAAGAGTATACACTACTGCTCAAAGTATAAAGTAGAGTTGAGGCTTGTAATTAACCCTGGGGTAATGCAGTGGGGTGTTNGTGGGCAAAAAGTAACGATAGTGAAGATTAAAATAATTACATTATAGCCAATCTTACCCGTTTTCACAGAATGCAAGAATTAGGTCCCCCGTTTCCAGACTAATTAGAGACCTGGTCCCGATTCTATTTCTGAACGTCTTCTGTTCACGTCCAGTCAAACGAACTCTTTTCAACATTTCTGGAACGTTTACAATTGTTCTATAATCGAACCAATATTCGAATTTTATGTTCGAATTCAAATTCAAATATTGTTCGAATTTAATTCGAACAATATTTGAATTTGAATTCGAATATTTTCTATTTCGAATGTTATGTTCGAATTTAATTCGAACATAACATTCGAAATAGAAAACCACTTTCAACCACTTTCAGCCCCATATCTCCCGCACCCTTATAGCTATCGAGACACAACTCCCATAGTGCACGAATGGAGACTTGGGGCTACTACCACATACAAACAGCATTCATGTGCGATGTGTAGTTTTTGCAGAAAAGTGAAATATAGGGACACACACGTCCACATATATATATAGATGTAAATCTGTTGCTAGAAATAAAATTGTGATTGATTTTTTCTTTTCATTTCTAGTTTTATAATTATTTAATACCATATAATAAATATGTATCAGTTAAAGTAAATTATGCTTATGATTTAATATGTTTAATGATATANAGCCAATCTTACCCGTTTTCACAGAATGCAAGAATTAGGTCCCCCATTTCCAGACTAATTAGAGACCTGGTTCCGATTCTATTTCTGAATGTCTTCTGTTCACGTCCAGTCAAACGAACTCTTTTCAACATTTCTGGAACGTTTACAATCGTTCTATAATCGAACCAATATTCGAATTTTATGTTCGAATTCAAATTCAAATATTGTTCGAATTTAATTCGAACATAACATTCGAAATAGAAAACCACTTTCAACCACTTTCAGCCCCATATCTCCCACACCCTTATAGCTATCGAGACACAACTCCCATAGTGCACGAATGGAGACTTGGGGCTACTACCACATACAAACAGCATTCATGTGCAATGTGTAGTTTTTGCAGAAAAGTGAAATATAGGGACACACACGTCCACATATATATATAGATGTAAATCTGTTGCTAAAAGTAAATTATGCTTATGATTTAATATGTTTAATGATATATTATTGTTATAGGGGAGGATTAAGTACCTACAAGGAATTGTGTGCTGTTGCATCTGATCTTAATCAACCAGAATTAATTTATAAATTTATGCATTTGGCAAATCATAATGCACTTTGGAACTCTAAAAAGGTATTTTTTTTTTTCTTAATTTTTCATAGACTTTATAAGAAATGAATAATAATAAACTATTGAAATTTACATTTTCTAATATATTCTATGGAAATGCTTTATGGTAGAGAAGAGAGTCTATATATACTGCATTGAATTAATTATATAGATAAACCCTAAATTTACATTAAAATCTTTTTAAAGTTTTGTAACTTTTAAACTTTACAATAAAAAATACTTTCACTAATTGTAAGTTGGTTTTTTCAGTTTTGTATTTAAACATCCAAAACTTTATAAGATTGAAAATAATTATGAATTTGCATGAAACATTCTTTAGTTATAAGCATAAATTTTGCTGAAGAGAACGAAATCATACAAGAACACACCAGTTGACTATTCCAACTTTATTATATCAGGAATTTTTTTACTAAAATTTCTATAAATATTCGTTGTTCTGAATAATGGATTTGGAGGTAAAAGTAAATTCTGCCATGCATGTTGTAATGTTAAGAGCACATGTTCGCCAAATAATCCAGCATCAAATGTCTCAGTAATTACCAAAGAAACCCTAAATTTATATTGATATGGTTATTATTGATTTTTTAAATTTGCAGAAATAAAAATGAACAATATATATATTTTTTAAATAATACAAAATAGATAAATACCTCTTAGGCATATCTGCAGGAATTTTCATTTCAGTTGATTGCTTTTGTATTAAATTTATGTGATTATCCATTCTGTTTGATTGTAAGACGTCTCTAGCTAATTGACACATTACTTTAGATTTTTCACAAGCATATACTTCTGTAGCACCTGCTTGAACTGCCATCATGCTAAAAGATTACATGATTATTATTAGAAAAATTTTTTAATATATTTTTTAAATTATATATTTTATTTAC